ATTGCCTTGATCGCCTTTAAGATCTCGCGCATAGTTGGAGGGAAGCCCTCGTCAACCTGCGATTCAGTCCGTTTGGGGATATGCTTTCCATCGGCATGACTCCATCGGTCCTGCAGCATCTTCGCCAGCTGTCCTCTGGCCTCTTCCGGATTCAGGTCATTACCTTCGTCGTCCATTAAAGTTAAGCCCTCCTGTCCGTTGCACCTCCTATATTGATCCCACAGCAATTGGTTCTGAATTGGTAGATGTATTTTTACTGGTATCTTGTGAAAACGTTCCTTGAGTTCGTTACGTAGTTTCAGCCATGCCTTTGTAGTTGGCTTATCGGCGTCGCGAGTGATGAGTCCGGCTTTCGGCCGTTTTGCGTGGTAGCTGATTTGGTTTAGCGTCCATTTGACCGTTAGTATCGCATGGTCAGCAGGTGCATTCTCCCAGTCCAAGTGGACTACATTATCCTGCGCTTGGCAGGTATCCTCACTGATGAGTATGCGGTCCAGCGTCCGGCTTGGTTTACCGTCTTTTGATCTTTTTGAGATCCATGTGGGTGTGGTTTGAAGTATGATCAGGTTATGATGCAAAGCTAGTCTCTCCAGTCTAATATGGTTCGGCGAACCTCTGATGGTTCTGGATTCAGTCGGCTCGTGTCCTGCATTAAAGTCACCAGCTACTAGCAGTGGTTTTGTAGTCTTGATAGCATTTGTAAGATACTCCCAGAATTGGGCTTTAAACCTGTCCGCTGTTTGCTCAGTGGGTCCATATGCCCCGACTATTGTGACTAAATCATCGATCTCGAGGATGATTATGCGTGTTGTCTTGGTGGTGATTCGGTATTGGACATCTTGCCGTATCATCGCAGCTACCCCATCTGCCGCTCCAGCAATCCCGATCGTAACATATCGACCATCGTAGGCAGAGCGGTGTAGATTTGTGCACGTTTCTGTCAGTATGACGACATGCGGTCTGGTATACAATATCCAGTTCCGTAGTTGCAGTTCCTTTTTGTCATTAAAGCCATCCACATTGACCGTCATGACTTGGTAGTACTTGTGCCTCGTCCTATCCCTCAGAGTGGGGTAAGCTTGTTTAGTAGCGGCCTGGTCGACAGCCTCCTGTTCATCCGCCTCTGCTGTTATGGTAGAAACGGGTT